AAACGAAACATCAGGAGCCCTTCCTGGGCTGGACTGGGGATCAGGAGCCCTTCCTAGGCTCAACGAAACATCAGGGGCCCTTCCTGGGCTGGGGATCTGGGGCCCTTCCTGGGCTAAACAAAACATCAGGAGCCCTCCCTGGGCTGAACGAAACCTCAGGAGCCCTTCCTGGGCTGGACTGGGGATCAGGAGCCCTCCCTGGGCTGAACGAAACATCAGGAGCCCTTCCTGGGCTGAACGAAACATCAGGAGCCCTTCCTGGGCTGGACTGGAGGATTTCGAATGCGGGGTAATCCATCACAAAAATAAAAACTGACAAAAACCGGGAAAACAAACGAGGGGAAAGAGGCCGCTATACTTTACTTCTTGGGTCGGTTATTCTGTCACGGTCAAGGTGTGTGGAGGCAGACAGGATGACGAGGACGACAAGGATTCAAATAAGGATTATTTAATGTAGCGACAACAAGGCAGATTCGGGTAGACACACACACTCGGGATAACATTCACAATAACCGACCAAACTAGAATACAAGAGACAGGAACTTATAGGGTTAGTTTTGGATCTGTTTTTAGTTGTTTTAATACTACAATTGATTGCTTCTGTTGTCCTCATTTGTAAGTCGCTTTGGATAAAAGCGTCTGATAAATGACTAAATTAAAAGAAAATAATAATAAAAAATGCGAGATCATTTTTTACAGTGTATGTCCCTAGAATGACACAGAGCTGTACTTTTCCACTAAATATGTGTCAGGATCTGTTTAGTTGTGTTTTGCCCCCGTCTTTGTTCCTGGTGTTCCTTATATGGTCTTTTTCCTGTCCTCGTTTAGTTTAATTAGTCATTCAGTGCACCTGTGTTTGTTAATTATCCCTTGCATTTAAGTTCGAGTCTGTGCTGTCTGTTTGTGTCCGAGATTACGGCAACCCATGTGTTATCTGTGCTCCTGTCTGCCCCGTGTGCGCCCTTGGATTTTGGATTAAAAGACTATTGTGTTGGTTTACGCCTTGTCTCTTCGTTCCTCGCACGTCTCCGTAGGTGAACGTGACAATATGTTTTGCGTTAAAATCAGAAAGATTGTAACAATCAAAAGAAACCGGAAGAGGGGGATCCTGGAGGGAAAAAAGTACACTATTCAAAGCAGCATCTATTCAGTCTTTTAAAATGGGTTGTTAAGCTAAAAAGTAAGGCATTACTGCATTTATACAAGTCACTGGAATATAATTTTAATGGTAGAACAGAAGTGGACACTTTACACACTCTCAGGGGAAAAGTGTCACTGGGCCGTTAACCTTTCAAAAGCTACTAACCGTGACTGACTTTGAATTATTGATAGGTTCATTAAAAAGTAATGGGGGGGGGGATGCACAAATGAGAAAAAAATAAAGCTCAGTGCAGATCCGGTACTCGCGTATCTGCTTTTTACACCCGAAGTGTGCAAGCAGAAGCCGCCTGGAGAGACCTGCCACTGGAACAGGTGTCGTGCCGAATCCCAACCCCCGCCAAATTATTACCCCCAGTATAGGCAGTGTTGGGAAGGTTACTTTAGAAGTGTAATAGGTTACAGATTACAAGTTACTCTATTTAAAATGTAATAAGTAGTATAACTATTTCAATTACTTTATTAAAGTAATGCAGCTGATTACATTTGATTACTTTTTGATTAGCCTACTTTTCTAAATTTCTAACGAATGTTTTCATCTGTTAATCATTTTGAAACATTTAAACCAGGCAGGGTTAACCTTACCGTGTTACGCAACACTGCTACTGTCAGACTTTCAAAGTCCTTCATCACTTGAATTAAAATTATAATAGGCCTAATTTAATTTTAAATTGCAGCCACCACAAAATCAGACTTTAGCAGCTCTTACTTTGAGATCGTTCTGAGGTTAAATACAGATTTAAAAAAGTTTATACTGTTGAAATAAAAGCTTTGCATAGCTATAACAGGAAACACTGGCATCTAACAATAATTTGGAGAAAAAAAAAGTTAATCTTAAAAAAAAAAATCATACACATAAAACCAAATAGGAAATAAAACAGTTATCAAATAAGCATGTGTCCTATTCTGTGTCCTAAAAAGGACACGGTCTTATTTGTCTCCTGAATCATTGGTGTCTTGTTTTTTGAGTATGTGTATCAAATTTGTATGTGTGTGAAAATATTCAGATGTAACCCCCTTTGTAATCAGTAACATTTTCATAAGTAACTGTAACAGATTACAGTTACATTTATTTTGTAATTAAATTACATAATAAAATAATTAAAATACATAACTCCCCAACACTGTTGGTAGGTTTAGGGTTAGGTGTGGGAAAGGGGTTATGATTAGGGGTGGGGTTTGGAATAGGTAATGAAAATAGTTTCAAACAAAGTCAAAGCACAACATTTGATTCTCCAAGCAACACAGAGGTGTTTCGTTAA